CCAGGGGAGGAAAAGCCATAGAAGCCAGGAACTTACACTTTCTTTTGGCCTCAGTGATTGAATGTAGATCTGGAAAAGGAGAATCTTTGATTAAATATTTTTTCTCTTTTCTCTGGGACTGTTAGGTTGTATGAATGTGGTTTGGGGTTTCTTGGCAATGAAGCTGGCAGGAATGGAAGCAGAGAAGAATATCTTTGGGGACCTGAGCTACAAACATGTCTAATAGTCTTTCTGCTGTGGAACTTTCCCATGAGCTCAATGATTCCTTCTTATTCCCATTGAAATCAATTTGAATCCGGGTTCTCTTGTACCCAGGAGTTCTAAGTCATACAGATTTAATAAAATTGCAGGTTCTCATGAGAACACAGAGACTTACTTACTGGCTCTCTGTGACTGTCAACTAAATGCATTCCAGAAAGCAGGTGGGGTGGGCCTTTCTTAAAGAGCTTAAAAAGTTACACGTTGTAGTGGCCCTAAATGGAATCAACCTGGAAAACAGAAGAACAAAATTAGCTCCAGTAGCCATCAAACAGTTGTGGAGAACATGGCATACCCCTATCATGTGAAGTAGTACATGACACCAGGATTAGGCTACGAAGTCTGAACCCACACTGGAGACCAAACTTGGCTGTCACTAAGAGACATGTTTCCCATACCTCTGACTCCTACTTCTGTATTTCTAGGATTCTCTGTGTGACCAATATGAGCAGTGATCCTGGTTCAAGGTCTCATTTGTCCCAGGAATAGCTTAAATCCAGCTCATAGCTGACTCCTAGAACTTGCACTAGATTTTATTTATTATCCATGCATTCAACCCTTGCTATGTATCAGTCAGGGTATTAAGGGTACCCTCCAATTAGTCTACCTCCAATCTGGGGTTATTCCAGCAATGGCAATGGCCAGACTAGTACAATTGTAAATAGTGACAGGGAAATGACAGTCCATATAAAAGCAGGAGTGTTGTTAAGAAGACAGTGAGCCATTACCAAAGTGCATCAAAGAAAATAAGAACAGTCATCAAAGTAGAATTTCATTACTTTATATTACTTTGCTTGGCAAAAATATGAAGCTGGGCAGTGGTGGCTCACACCAGTAATACTTTGCTACTCAGAAAGCTGAGATCTGAGGATCACGGTTCAAAGCCAGCTCAAACAAGAAAGTCTGTGAGACTGTTCTCTCCAATGAATCACCAACAAGCCAGAAGTGGAACTGTGGTAGAACACTAGCCTTGATCTCTCATGTATTTCAAAAAGCTAGTAGGTTTAAAATTATTTTTTTCATCGTAAAAATGATAAACATTTAAAGACATAAATATGTCTAACCTGATTTAAACATTACATAATATATACATTTGTTAAAATAGAACATGGTATCCCATTAATATGTCCCAATTCTTATGCTTTTATGTAACAGTTTTCAAAAATATATTTAAAAAAAGAAATGAAAAGAAAGGAACCTCAAAGGCCATTTCCTATGTACCATTGGCTGCAGGCCAATATCTCCTAAGACAATGTCTTCCTGACCAGCTTTTCTCTCAAGTGCTTGTGAATGCACCCAGCTCCCCTAAGATTGTTAGCTATATAAGAAGGAGCAGGTTGAGTTATTAACAGAAAATGTTTGAATAGAAAGTTGACACACTTGAAGAACTGATCCCCTCAATTTTCAAGGGATTGTGTTTCTCCTCCTTGACATTTGGCAAATCTGATAAAGACATCGAGGACTGCTGGGATAATTTACTGCCTTCATGTTTGTTTTGGGTTCAGGACCCCAGTGACCCATAAAACATTGTGACTCCTGGGAGTGTAGGATAATAATATACAGACCATCGGATGATTTTCGCTTAGTTTTCAAGCTTCTTTCATTATTTTGTGATTATTTAATGTTTGAAATACATTTTTAAATGTGCTCTAATTTTCCATCAAGTTCAAAAACTTTTCTTTCTCTTTTTATAAGAATATTCCACGGAAGACATTGTTTTATAATTAATTTATCCCCTTTATTTTGACATAATCTCAGAGAGACCTCTTTTATAAATAAATCCGAAGCCTATTGTGGAAGATGGTTTAGGAGAAGTTTTAAAATATTTGAAGGTTTCTTATATAGAAATCACCAAGAATGGAGCCATACATTTTTCAAAGCAAAGTCTTTGCTCAGGACAGTGACAAACCCTGCAGGGATAATTCCTTGGACAGAATTCTATTTTATTCTTTAAAACTCAGGGTTCAATGTCTCTTCCATCAAAGTGGGTTTCTAAGAAGTGTTTGGGCAAAATAAAGTGTCTAATTATTGTTTCCAAGACAACTAACTGTGTAAAAATTCCTTCTGAGGCCACATCATATGTGTGAACAGGGACAGGGAGTGACTGGGGATCCCTAACACATTGTGACAACGCTAGACAGGGATGTCACGATGCACACCATGCAAGCAAGACAGTCTGCCTGACTAGAAATTATATGACCTCCTAAATTTTATGTTGGGTTATCTAATTTTCCATTCTGTTTCTTAATGATGGAAAGTGTTTGCTCCACACAGTATTCCTTCATGATTGAAAATAGTGTTAGATTTAAGTTGATCTGGCTCTGTGTGTGTGTGTGTGTGTGTGTGTGTGTGTGTGTGTGTTCTGGGACTTGAATTTAGGGCCTAGTACTCTACCACTTGAACCACAGCTCTACTTCTGGCTTTTTTGGGTGGTTAGAGAAAAAAGATAATGGACTTTCCTGGGCAGGCTGGCTTCAAACCAGGATCCTTAGATCTCAGCCTCCTGAGTAGCTAAGACTACAAATGTGAGCCACCAATGCCTAGCTTGACTTTTTTTTTTTTTTTTAAAATAAACTACAATTCAATCATTTGGTAGCTGAAACTCAGCTTCTGACAACATTGAAATGGACACCTTAGGAATAACCTCTTTTACTTATAAATCTTGACCTACACCACCCCTGACCTTCCTGTGTTGTGTGGAAGTTCAGCAGAAGGGAGCCAGTAGCAACAACACCAGGAAAACATGTGTCTCTGAGAAATGCTGGGCTTAGGATATTTGTGTTGCTGTCATAGGGAATTCAGTCAAGAGACTTGAAAAAAGTCAACTATGCTTTTCTAAAACCAAACCAGGCATGCTACAAGGCTGATTTTAACAACTGTGTGAGCAACTGTAGCTCTCTTTTCTTTAAAAGGTTCTTAGAATATCTAAAGATTTTCTTACAATAGCATTGCATATTGTCATTAACTGAATTGCTTCAAACTCTTCCATATTTTTTTAAAAGATTTTTTAAAATTTTATTGTAAAGGTGATGTACAGAGAGATTACAGTTACATGAGTCAGATAATGAGTACATTTCCTTTTTTATGTTTTGTATTATAAAATTAGTGTACAGTGGGGTTACAATTACATGAGTAAAGTAATGAGTACATTTCCTATCGAGCATTGTCACCTCCTCTGTTTTTCTCCTACCATTTCTTCCTTCCCCATCACCCTAACTCCCCTCTCCCTCACAAGTTGTAAAGTTTGTTTTCAACATAGTGTCTTGTACATCTAATTGTTAAAATGGGTCAACCTGTATCCTTGTTTCAGCATTTTGTTTTTTTCCCTTCCCCTCCCCAAATTAGAAAAATGTAAATACAAGATGCAGAGCACTAACTTCAAGTACAGTGAAAACAGGGGTTATACTGTGGGGAAAGAACATACAAAAGAAACAAAAAAATCACATAGTGCATTTTAGGTACGCTGCACAGTGTCACCCCTCTCACTGATATATAAAGTATATATGTGTTTATATATACATACATAGATGTATATGAGTATATATGTATGTATATGTGTGGGTATATATACAAATACATTCCCTGGGGATTTAGACAGTCTACCGAGTGAAATGAAAATGACAAGAAATGAGAAAGTCATATTTCAGTGTGGTGAGGTCTGCAATGTCTGGTTAGTGCCCTTTTCTTTTTCTACTTTATCATGGATATTCCTAACATAAAAAACTCCTCCAGGAAGCTTCAGAAGTTCTCCTCAAAACTGCCTTCTTGTTACAAACTATATGTCTCCTTTCTACCCTCCTTCTTCCAAATAGAATAGCTTTGGGAGTTGAAGACAGCTTTGATTTGTAAGATTAGGACACACAGTACCAGACATTGAAAGATACCCTGCCTTAACATTCATCACGACCACCACTCTACCATCATAATCACCATCACCACTATTATCACCAGCACCATCACCACTATCACCATTATCATCATTCTCACCCTAATTACCATCACTACCAATTTTATTGCTTTCTATGTATCAAACACTGAGCTACAATATTTAAAAATTATATCTAATATACAATATATGTAATATAATACATATAATATATATTAGACATATAAGCTCATTTGGTTTCCATGACTATTTCAGACAGCTCTACTGTTTTTACTTTACAGATAGAGAAACTGAAGTCTCAGAAAGTAGCAAAAACTGCCCAGACTGTCATCTTGAAAATATCAGTGTTGAGAATGCCACAAAGATCAGGTTGCTTTTCAAGTCCCTGGTATCAATAAATAGTTGGGAAGTCAGCCTGGGGAAGATCTTCTCTCACTCCCCCATCTGTGTTTGGCCAGAGCTGCTCTGGTCACTGTTTGAACTGGCAGAAGCTAATGATAAAGAGAGAAAGTGAAGATGAACTCACATCAGTCTTCAGCCCTCAGCTGTCCAGAAGGCTTCTGGGCAAGGATCCAGAGACTGAAAAATGTAAACCTGCACACTTGATCACTGCAACCCACTACTCCCAGACAGCTAAGAACATAATCTTCACTTCAACACGCTCTTTGTCTTTACATGGCAGGGAACACACTTCTTTTAAACAAACAATGGGGAATTTTAAAAAAAGTGTGTGCTATTGGGGATTTAACTCAGGGCCACATACCCTTGCTAGGCAGACTTGCTACAACTTGAGCCACACCTTCAGATCCCTAAAAAACTTTTTGGCCAACTTAAAGTTTGCTTATGAATACACAGAATACTGACCTGGCAGGAAAGATACCATGATCATGGAGGTTGTTTCCTTATGGTGAGGCTCACCGAGTGTACTCCAGATGTTCTAACCCTTGTAATTTCTCCAAATATGGAAAACTCCACTGTATAATTGGTGGTAGTCGGAGATGGAGCTCACACTTTCCCCTAAGAAAGAAGAGAGAGAGAGAGAGAGAGAGAGAGAGGGAGGGAGGGAGGGAGGGAGGGGGGAAGAGGAGGAGGAGGAAGAGGAAGAGGAAGAGGAAGAGGAGAAGGAGGGAAGAAGGGAGGGAGGAAGACAAGGAGGGAAATACAAGCAGAATGTAGCTTGAAGTTTGGTCTCTGTAGTTTTCACCAACAGCCATTTGTACAATCTGCATAGTTCCCTCTTCTGTCTCATTTGCAGTGCACAGCTAAAAAAACACTGTAGTGAATCATAATTTATTGCATATTTACCACAAATTATCTTCTCTTTGGTGTTTATTACTTATTAATTATCTTCTTCTCTTTGCTGTAAGTTTGCTTCAGTTTCCTTAGAATAAAGATTTATTTTGTGTGTGTGTGTGTGTGTGTGTGCGCGCGCCAGTCCTAGGGTTTGAACTCAGGGCCTGGAGGCTGTCCTTGAGCTATTCTGCACAGGGCTAGCACACTACCACTTTAGTCACAGTTCATTTCCAGCTCTTGCTTGTTCTATGGAGAAGGATCTCACAAATATTCCTGCCTAGGCTGGTTTCAAACTGTGATACTCAAATCCTGTCAACCTTCCTGATAGTTAGGATTTCAGATGTGAGCCACTGGCACCCAACTAATTTAAGGATTTTTATAGAGAAGAGTTAGGATTACAATAGCCAGAACACAGTCAGATGGTCTTTCATTTCCATTACAAGATGGCATAGTTCTACTGGCCCTCTTCTATACTAGAATGAGAATAACTAATTCCACTACAAAGTCTCCTGAATCTTCCCTCTTAGTAAAAATAATCATCAGAAGAGGAGAGTGGGACACGAGGGAGAGTTGTTTCCAACAGAAGTAGAAATTTCCTTCAAAAGACTTTCTGAAGATAATTTATTGACATAATGATTGTACTTATTTGCAGGATACAATGTAATGTTTTGATATAAGCATGCACATGGTAATGCTCAAACCCAGGTAATTAATATGCTGTTCTCCTAAGCATGATTTTTTTTTGTGGTGAGTACCTTTAAAATCCTGTGTTCTAGCTACTCTGGAAAATAACCTAATTTACTTTTAACTGTAGACACCTGTCATTCAATAATCACCTGCATTTGTTTTTCCTAGTTGTTTCTTTGTATTCACAGACCAATCTCTGGCCCTTTTCCTTCCCATATCTCTGGCAAACAATGTTGTATGTACTCCTTTCATGAGATCAACATTTTTACATTCCGCATATATGAGTGAGATTGTTCAGCATTTGTCTTTCAGCATCTGGGTTGTTTCACTTGAGATAATGTTCTCCAGGTTCATCCATTTTCCTGAAAATTACATGATTTTGTGCTTTTTATGGTCGAATATATTCTATTGTATATGCATTCCACATTTTTTCATCTATTCATCTACTGATGGAGAGTTGATTTCATGCCTTGGTTATTGTGAATAGTACTGCAACAAATAGCAGACAGAAGATGTTTCTTTGATATTCTGACTTCAGGTACTTTGAATATATGCACAGATGTATGACATGGTAGATCTGTTTTGAGTTTTTTTTTTTTTGAGAAGCATCAATATTGTTTTCTGTAATGGATGAAGTATTTTACATCCCCATCAACAGTCTGCCAGGGCTTCCTTTCTCCATGTCCTTGTCAGCACTTTTATTACCTTTCATCTTTTTTCATATCGGAAGGTTTATTGATATCAGTTCCATTCATTCATTTTGCCATACTTTCATTAGCATCAAAAGGATTTCATAATTGACATATCCATATCCATATATATTGGACTTTGATTGGTTCTATGCCTTCAACCACTCTCCTTTATCCCTTCCCCCTTTCCAAACCAATCTCAACAAACTTTATTATTCCATTTTCACACCATTCTAAATGCAGTAAGGTGATATGTCATTGTGGTTTGATTTGTATTTTTCCAATGATTATTTATTGGTAGAACTTGAGAAATGTCTTATTAAGGTCATTTGCTTGTTTATCATTATTGAGTTGAGTTCCTTATAAACTCTGGATATGAATTCCTTCCCATGGGAAGTTGAAAAGTGTATTTTCCTATACTTAGTTGTCTTTTTACCTTGTCTATTATTTCTATTGTTGTGAAGAAACTTTTAAGTTAACGTAGTTTGATTTTATTGCCTGTGATTTTGAGCATTGGATCATTGCGATTCATACTTGCTTGACCTTCCTCTCAAGAATAATGATCCATTTTGTTAGGTATGCTGCAGCTTTCACTGTCTTTGAAAGCATCAGGCCCGTGCTTTTATCTTTATATGCCAGAGGCTATAAGAATGCTTGGCACATGATAAGTGCTCAATGGGTGAAAACCTGGCATTATTGAGCACATGGATTTTTTTATATATAAAACTTGGAATGTATTAGATAGATGGCTAGAAATGACCTTCACTCTGGACCTTACGTTTAGAATGGGAACCTTTAGAGACATGTGTTCCCTGATGCAGTGGAGTCCCCATCCTTGTCTTTTTGAAGTGTGGGTTTCTTGGCATTTTTTACATATTGAGTTGATGTGCTCTGATGTTTTTCATGCTGTTTCGATCATCCTGAGCAGTAGGCTCCCTGAAGCAACAAACCACAGACAATACTTAGGTTTCCTCTATTTCTATTGCTTTCACTGCTTCCTCCCTGGGCTGATGCACTCAGGAATGACTATTTGCCTGTGTCTGTAGATGTTACATCATCTTCGCTCATCATGGCCAGCTATCCTTTCTACAGTCACATGTCTAAATATGACAGAATAACAGAAAAGTTGGTTGTCTATTCAACATGCTGCTGCTGCTCCCCACCCCTAGTTGCTTAGGAGGGTGGCTACGTGTTATGACCACAGAGAAGTAAAGAACCAACCATATTTCTAGCATTCTGGCATTTGAGCAGCAGTTGAGAGGAAGCTGGAAACATCACAATGATATTACAAGATCAGGCCTGCTTACAAAGTCTATGTTTCTAGTTTTTCCCGGTCCTCTGTAAGCAAAAAAGAACAAGATAAATTAATAATAAATAACAAAAAACAGGAGAAAATATAACAAAACAGCCTTTTAGATCCTTCCAGTTAACTTCTGTGTCGCAAGACAAACAAAGAGAACAGACTTCTCATACCACAAACTGACATAAATTTGACAAATAAGATTAAAGTTAACATGAAACAGCTGAGCCTTCTGGGTTTACAGGGGATTAATAGGGCATTGATATTTACTTGTCCTCTTTCCCAGGATGGTGAATGGCCCTGGACTGAGAAAGCAGTTTCTCTCACTAACCCAGGTAGTGGAAATGTTTCTGCCTCTTACTACATAGAATCATGCCACTTCATATCCATATATATGGAAGAAGCATGCATATACAGATGATGAAAACTTTTGCTCACAGCCGAGGCTGAGATCTGAGGATTGCTGTTTGAAGCCAGCCGGGGCAGAAAAGGCCATGAGACTCTTATCTCCAATTAATCATAGAAAAAGCCATAAGTGTGGCTGAAGTGGTAGAGTGCTAGCCTGGAGCAAAAGGAGCTCAGGACAGCGCCCAGGCCCTGAGTTCAAGCTGCAGGACTAGCAAAAACAAATGCTAACAGACAGAAATGCAATGACCAAGTGAATGTGTTGTTTTTTTTTTGTAATAAGTTTTTTATTGTGAAAATACTGTATAGAGGGGTTACAGTTACATGAGCAAGGTAATGAGTACATTTCTTATCAAGCATTGTAGCCTCCTCCTTTGTTTTCCCCCTACCATTCCCTTCCCTCCCACCTCCTCAACTACACTCCCCCCCGACTACATGACAGATGAGACTGAGAGTTTAAGGGGCATACTGACTATTAAAGCAGAAATGTGTCATTTAGACATGAAAGATTGCTTGAGATTTTGGTGGCGTAAAAATGATGTGGAGTGAAATCTTTTTCAGTGATGATCTTCATCTAAGTTATGTCACAAAAATACACAACCTTACCTTTACTGTGTTTTCACCATGATGTACATATGTTTTAACTTAATATTCAGATAGTCACTCCACAGTGCAGAGTCTCTCAATGAGGTAGAACAATGTGTGGAGATTTCCAATCTGTCCTGGACCAATGAGTGGTCTTCTTACACACAAATAGCATCCACTTCAAGAGTCTGCTGATAATGCGCTTAGACTAGTCACAATATTAAATTGCTAAAATTATTTCTAAAGGCGGTTACCCGCAGTGGTATCTGTAGTCTCGGCTACTAGTGTGACTAAAGCAGCAGGATCACTTGAACCCAGAAGGTCAAGGCAAAATCTTGACAATATTGAGAGGAGTCCTCCTCTCAAAAAATTTCTAAAGACTCTACTCCCAGTTGCTTGCTTTGTTGAAAGTCAGTCACAGGTAGTTAAAATGATGACAGTGGCATATAGACCACACCTGAATAGCACTCTCCAACTTGTCACCTGTTCAATGGATTAAGGGCTTATAAACCCAGTAGTTTCTAGAGTTTCTCAACAATAAAAGCCCAGTGTATGCTAATGGTATAGAGTGAAGACTGTGGAAAACTAGAGCATAAATACCCACTTAAACAAGACAACACTTGTTCAAATACATCAAACAGACAAAAAAGTCAGAAATCTTAAATTTGGGTAGGAAAATTTCCATAATTATTAGTAGCCATCAATTAATTCAGTTAACATTTTGTCCCACAAGAGCTCAGGAGCTATGTGCATGTAATCATATAAAAGGATGCTTATGGAAATGAACCCCAAAACAATGTGAAACAAGAGTTTTTTTTATTTTACTTTTTGTGTTTATTTTTCTGGTTCTTCTTTTGTCGCTTTTAAATTTTTTCTGTACCTTTTATTTTGTAGGTAAGTTTATCTGATTTGGGAAGGGGAAGTAAAAGCACCGAAATGGTGTGACAAAGGGTGAACTAATGTAGCAGCGTTACTCACTAGGCACTATGTTGAAAATGAACTGTGAGAGAAGGGGTTCTAGAGGAAAAAACAAAACAAAACTGTGAATAAACCAGGGAAGA